GCCAGGGTAGCTCCTCAAGGTTGAGAGTCCTCATCTATATATGGCTAAGTGTATATATGATCTGGATCATTATTCTAAGTTTAAGAGTTGGATGTAGTTTACTAATTGCTCTTCCCAATCGACACCAGAATGTGTAAATTTGTGGGAGCTTTCATTTCTTAATAAATTCAGTTTAATTATGCTTGTGGATTAACTCAGAATGAGAGAACGCCCCACAGGTACTTTTGAGAGAAATATAGTTTTCTTGTTCTGAATAAAGGATTTAAAATTCCAGATACTAAGATGCTAATGGAAAAATTTAAAATACGGTTTTAATGTAATATATGCATCTATAGTACAAATATATATATATAAACTCTCATTGGTTTATAGTGTAGACGCACATCAGACTACAAAATATCATGTTGGAGAGAAAGAGTGCCTCCTGAGGCTGCCAGCTGCTTATAGTGTACAGAAAACCAGTTTCCCCTTTTTATTTTCCCTTTAGTCACTGACATAGGGAGATAATTCACTAAGGATACGAGACTGGGAGAGGTGGCTGACACACAGGAAGGCTGTGCTGCCATCCAACGAGATCTGGACAGGCTGGAGAGCTGGGCAAAGGGGAACCTCATGAAGTTCAATAAGGAAAAGTCTAGAGTCCTGCATCTGGGGAGGAAAAACAACAGACACCAGTAGAGATTAGGGGTTGTTCTGCTGGAAAGCAGCCCCATGGAGAAAGACCTTGGAGTCCTAGTGGACAGTAAGTCAGGAGAGCAATGTGTCCTTGTGGCCAAGAGGGCCAATGGGATCTCGGGGTGCATTAAGAAAAGTGTGTCCAGCAGGTCTAGGGAGGTTCTTCTTCCCATCTAGTCTGCCCTGGTGAGACCACACCTGGAATACTGTGTTTAGTTTTGGGCTCCCCAATTCAAGAGAGACAGAGACCTACTGGAGAGAGTCCAACAGAGAGCTACAAGGATGATTAAGGGACTTGAACATCTCTCCTATGAAGAGAGACTGAGAGAACTGGGGCTGTTCGGTCTTGAAAAGAAAAGGCTGAGAAGGTATCTTATTAATGTATAGAAATATCTGAGGAGTGCATGTTAAGAGGAAGGGACCAGTCTCTTTTCGGTGGTGCCCCAGTAATAGGACAAGAAATAATAAGCTAGAACACAGGAAGTTCCACAAAAATATGGGGAGAAACTTTTTCACTGTGAGGATGATGGAGCACTGGAACAGGCTGCCTAGAGAGGTTGTAGAGTCTCCTTCTCTGGAGACTTTCAAAACCCGCCTGGATGTTGGCTGCCCTAGGGGATCCTGCTCTGGCAGGGGGGTTGGACTAGATGATCTCTAGAGCTACCTTCCAACGTGAACATTCTATGATTCTATGACAATTTGTTCAGGAGGGAATCTGAAGTACTGAGGCCTGAACAGCAGTCCCTGAACTAAAGCTGGCCTCTAGATGAATCTCACAACCCAACAATATATCTAATAGATATAGTATTAATCACATATGTAATGTATCACTAATCTATTGTAATATGAATAGATATATATTTTGATGCCAATCTATAAAAGCTTTGCTGTAATGCTTACTGTGTAATGGTAACCAGCAGAATCATCTTTCTTTAGGATGAGAGGAAATGGCCTCAAGTTGCACCAGAGGAGATTTAGCTTAGATACTAGACAAATTTTTACTGAAAGAAGAGTGAGGCATTGAAACAGGCTGCCCAGGGAAGTGGTGAAGTCACCACCCTTGGAAACATTCAAAACACATGTAGATGTGGCACTTCGGGACGTGCTCTAGTGGTCATGGTAGTGTTGAGTAGACAGTTGGACTAGATGATCTTAGAGGTACTTTCCAACCTTAATGATTCTATGAATCTACGATTCTTTATTTAGAGGCATGTTGCAATGCTGTGAAACTAGATGTCTGGAAAGACAAAATATTTAGAGAAACTCTCTTGAATTCCTCCTTGAGCCCTGGCCAGGCTTTGGGTGAAATCTAAAACAAGAGGTGACACTAGATATACCTGCACTCAAAATTTTGAAATATGTTTATCAACTATATAAAAGCTGGGTCCTCTTGCAGTGACTTTGGAGACCTCACCTATGAGTGGACGCACTGTACAGGCCTTCCCAATTGCCGGGACAGGCTCTCCAAATCTTTGCTGCAACCAGGGCTCCCCAGAGACTGCAGATCTGGATGGTAAAGTATTAGGGCAATTGGTGATGTATCTTTCTTAATTACTATAGTTAATCGTGTGTAGTAATGATTAGGTGCATTAGGCTGCTTATTTTCTTTGCTGCTCAAAACTAGAGTATAATAAGGTTATTGTTTCAACTAAATGCATTACCTTATTTTTTTAACACCTTATTTTTGTAATACATTCCACATCTAGGACAAATCTTAATCCCATTACATAAAATAACAAGGAAAAAAAATGAGTTTGAATGGCAGTCTGTCTTTGAATTAGCAAAAGAGGCTGTTCAAAGGGCTTTAGATTTATGGCCCATGTAAAAAGGAGAAGTAGAGTTAATTATATCTGTAAATGGAACATATGCAAATTGGAGCATCT